ACATCCTCTTGCCTCCTCCATCTGCCTCGTGGAATCAATGAGCTGGGGATGTTGATGGACCCCAGTGTCCCTTCCTGTCACTGGCACCCACCTTCCTCTTCTTCAGCTCCTGCTGGGGGACAGAGGAAAGACATACATTCATGCAGCAGCCAGGGTTGGGCACTCCCTGTAAAAAGTCTCTGGTCAAGCGATAAAGGAAAGGTGCCCTATTCTTGTGGGTCATAGACCTGTGCCAGGGACCAGTGTCCCTCACACACTCCCCAATAGACCTGAGGTGCCCTTGGCTTTTCTTGGGGCAGGGAACCACATGCAGGACTGAGACAGTAAAGAAAATTTGGGTTTAAACTACCCACAGCCATTGCAGCAGTGGGCCACACCATGAGCAAGGTGGTCTGATGGTTAGAGCATTCCCTCTGAATCCACAGGCTCCCTAGGGAGACCTGGTGCCCATCTGCTTGGTGGAGATATTGGCGATTGGGGTTTGGGCTGGGAACGACCTTCACATCACCCCTTTCCCAGGCACACTATCAGACTCCTTTCTCACACGTTTCCCCCTCCTGCTCTCACTCCAGTGCCTACCCACCCTGCTCCTCTGCACCCACTGCCTCTGCTCAGATCTTCTGCCTAAGGGGCTCAGTGCAGCCCAAACTCTGCTCCCAGCATGCTCAGCCCCCACCTTCCCCATCCCTTGGCCAGGCTCCTCAGGGAGCTCTTCCTACCCCAAACCTCGGAGCTGCCCTGGCTCCATTCCAGCCTTCAGCCCAAGAACTCCCTCCGCTCTCTATCTCCCTCTCCCACCCATTTCCAGGCACTGCTGGCCCTTTGGCAGGCACGTGGCAGCCTCGTGTCCAGAGGCACCAAGCTTCAGAGCACTAAGGTGCAGCCATGGCTGAGCAGGGAGGCTGCAGTCCTCCCAGCAGCAGGGTGCCCTCTTGTGAAGTCGGGCTCTGGCCAGCATGTCTGGTCACTCAACGAGCTCAACACGTCAGTGGCTACAGCCTTTTCACTGGGTAGACACCCCACCCCTCATCATGGAGGACAATGCCACCAGGATGCTGTGCCAGGGGGTGGTGGACAGGAGCTGGGCCAGGTGGGCCGAACACAGGACTCCCAGGATCCTCTCCTGAGCCAGATGCTGCCTCGCTGTAGGTATTTTGCCTTGCCAAGCAGGTCAGTTAGGGCCAAATTATTTTTTTCTTTTTCGGGGGGTTGCACAGGTGCTGGTGCCAAGCATGACATGTTGGGGCTGAACTTCAGGAAAGCCTTGGAGCACCTTTCTGCAGCTCAGGTTTCAGCACGGTGCCAGCCAGGCTCTCAGGAAGGGTCTCAAGCCATGGCCACCAGCTTCTCCACCCGAGGAAGCATGGAAGCCAGTTGCCCAGATCAAGACAAACAAGGGTCTGCCCTCTGCTTCCTTTGGACCAGTGGATGCAATGAGGCTTTGCGCTCCAGTGGCTGCCAGTAACTCAGGTGCATCTGGCTGCTTTTGTGGGTCAGCAGCCCAACAGGATCTGCCAGCCAACACTGCCAGCTCTGCCCATGGCCACGCTCATGCTACCCCAATGGGTGGGATGGGACAGAGGGTACCAGGGATCTGTCCCCTCATGGCTCTGCTTCACGTCAGCTCTGCT